CAGTCCAGAATACTGTAATGATAATTTATGAATCACATATATCTTTAGTATGAAAATTAAAAGGCAAACTCTTAAAAGTAATAATTACAATAATTTGTTAAGGGACAATCATATAGCAAGGTATAAGTAGTGACATTAAAAACAGAAAATGTGCAGAAGAACAAAAGTAGTTTTTAATGTGATCAAAGTTAAGTTGTTATGAACTCAAAATGACCTGTGAAAACTGAAAGATGTTTTATGTAAGCTTCATGGTCCTCACAAATCCAAAACCCATCATAGATGCACACAAACAAAAGTAAAAACTCAAAGTATGGTACAGAAAACCATCTAATAACAAAGCAAGACAACAAGAAAGGTACAAAAGAAATATAAAACAAACAGAAAACAAAATGGCAATAGTAAGTCCTTACAAATCAATAATTAATTACCTTGAATCTAAATGGAGTAATTTCTCTAACCAGAAGATATAAAATGACTGAATGAATTTTAAAAAAGAAAAGCACGACTCAGTTGTATGCTGCTGCATTTGTCAGCTTTGTAACCACGACAAAACATCTGATCTAGTCAAGGTAGTAAATGGAAAGATTTATTTCAGCTCATAGTTGCAAAGGTTCCAGTCTATGGTGGCTTGGCCCTGTGGCTTTCAGGCCTCTTGCCCAGGCTCAGAATGTTTACAAAGTGAAGACCTCAACCCCCTGCTGAGTCACTTAGTTAAATTTCTAAACTTCTCAAGTTGACACAATGTATCAACCACTGCAGAAAGAATGTATTTTAATACAATAAAGGCCATATATGACAAGCCTACAACTAAGGTCATACACAGTAGTAAAAAGTCCGAATCTTTTCCTCTAACATCAAGAAGACAAGAATGTTCAGTCAATATAACACCAAAAGTCCTACACAAAGTAGTTAAACAAGAGGAATGAAAAAAAAAAACTCACTCCTGGGTGGATTAACTTAATACCTTATTTGGAGAAGTCCTTGAGTGGTTCCACCCTTCATGAGCACTCCTCTCCCTTCTTCTGATAAATACGGGCCACCCAGAAAAGGTCTTGGTCTTAGGCCTGAGAAAATCTTGAATTCTGTGAGAGAGCTTTGATCCTCCTAGAGCCCTGAAATCATTCCATTCATCTCTTTATATTTAGCCTTCACTGTATACTCGTTTGGGAGATTGTGGACCTGATCAGCCCTGAATAACTAAGGAACATTATTAACCTAATAAAAGAGGTTGGGATTTTTTGAGACAGGCCCCTGCTATATAGTTCAGGTTGGTCTTAAGCTCACTGTGTATCTCAAGCTGACCTCAAACTCTCAGCAATCCTCCTGTCTCAGCCTCCCAAGTGCTGGGATTACAGGCATGTGCCACCACTCCTGGTGACCAATGGCATTTTTTATAGAAATGACAACAATCCTAAAATTTGCATGGAACCACAAAGATATCAAGTAATTAAAACAATCTTGAGTGAAAAAATAAAAACCAAAAACCAAACACGAAAAAGACTCTCCACAAAACTGGAGACATCACATTACTTGATTTCAAAATATACTACAAAGCTACTGTCATCAAAACAGTATGCTACTGTGATGGAGCAGAAGGAAGAGTCCATAGATAAATTTATGTATTTCTGGTTAATTGATTTTTTATAAATATGCAAAGAATGCATAATGTGGGAAAGACAATCCCTTAAGAAATAGTATCAGGAAAACTGGGTATCTACAGTCAGAAAAATGAAATTGGACCTCTATTTCATTCCACACACAAAAACATAAACTCAAACTTATGAAAGGTTTAAGTGTAAGTCATGTAACTGTAAAAGTACTACAAGAAAACATAAGGGAAACACTCTACAGCATTGGTCTGGCTAATTATTTTATTTGGTATCACCCAAGAAGTACAGGTGACAAAACAAACATAAACAAACAGGATTACATCTACTAAACAGCTTCAGCTCAGTAAAGGAAACAGTCAACAGAATGAAGATACAGCCAGTGGAACAGTAGAAAATATTTGTAAACCATACAACTCCTAAGAGGTTACTATCCAAAACACATAAAGAACTTAATAGTAAAAAAAAAGTCAATAACAAAGGGGCAAAGGATCTAAACAGACATTTCTCAAAAGAAAAGCTATAATTTTCCCAAATGTAAATGGAAAAATGCTTAATATCACTTGTAAGGGAAATGCAAACCAAAACCACCATAAGATATCACCTCACGAGGTAGTATTTTCAAAAAGACAAAAAATAACAAGGATTGGCAAAGATATGGAGAAAAGGGAAACTTTGCACACTGTTGATGAAAATTTAAATTAACAAAACAATGGAAAACAGTTGGAAGTTCCTCAAAATCAAAAAGATAGATAGACACACAGATGACAGGTAGATAGCTGGGGTAATTGTACTGCTGATGTCTAGTGGTTTATTAAAAGGAACAGTTAATACTTAAATTTTTTGACCAATTTTGCATGCCCATATCTGGTAATCTGAACAACTAATTTGAAGACAATAATATGCAATATAACAACCATGGCTGAGTTCCTACCATCTCGTTTAGTGAAGCTGTGTATTGTTTCCAATTTTTTAAAATTATTTTTTATTCTCTTTAATGGCTTGATCAATCTTGCATTCTTATATCTGGTAATCTGAGCAACTTTGTTGAAGATAACAATATGTAGCATAACAACAACTGTTAATCCCTATCATTTTGTTTGAAACCTTGTATCACTGTTATTGTTTTTGCTTTGTTTTGTTTTTCTCTATGTTGTTGTTATTTTGTTATTATTTTCTGTATATTCTCCTTAAAATAAAAAAAAAAGTTAAAAATAGAGCTACCATATGATCTGGTAACTCCACTACTGAGTTTATATCCAAAGGAAATGAAGTACGTTGGAAACATCTGTATTCCCGTGTACACTGTAGCACTGTTCATAACAGCCAAGATACAGAATGAACCCAGAAGTCCATCAACAGATGAGAGAATAAAGAGAGTGGTATGCTTACACAATACTATTCAGCCTTGAAGAAGAAAGAAATGTTATTTGTGACACTTAGATTAACCTGGAGGACATATGTTAAGTGAAATAAGCCTGTTACAGTAAGATGAAATGCCATATTATCTCATTTATATGGGGAATTTAAAAAAGATGGACTCATAGAAACAGATAAAGTGGTGGCTACCAGGGACTAAAGTGGGAATGAAGTTGGAGAGATGTTGGTCAATAAATATGAAATTTCACTGAGTGGGAGGAATAAATCCAAAACATATATTGGAAAAGATGGTGATTATAATTAATAAATATATTATACATTTGAACATCTTTAGAAAACTAGATTTTTGAATGTTCTTACAATAAACAAAAGATATATATTTGAGGTAATGCATATGTTAATCAGCTTGATACATCCCTTTCACAATATCTACATATTTCAAAACATCATGTTTGACACTATAAATATATACAATTTCATTAGAAAATAAATAATTTGCTTTTTAAAAAAGTAGTGTTAATAAGTTTTTTAGGGTCAAGAAAATGAGACCATATGGAAATTTACCTACAGGCAGTAATATAGGGCACTGGAAATTACAATTATGTGGGAATACTATGGTTTGAATGCTGAATGTCCCTCAAAAGGTCCATGTGTTAAAAGTGTGTCCCAAAAGCAATGGAACCTGAAGAGAGGTGAGTCCGGTGGGAGTCCTTAGGTCATTGGGGCCACATCCTTGAATGTTCTCATGCGATTCCTTGCTAGTTCCAGTAGGACAATTGTTACAGTAGCTACAGTTTGGCTCCTACTTCTTTCTCTGTCTTTGCTCTGGCTTAGGATGTAGCCATTTGCTCCTATACGTGCTGCTGTCATGATGTTCCACCACCCGCTGTGCTCACCAGAGACCATGCAAGTGGGGACACTGGATCTCGGACTTTGCACTAATAAAAGGGTGACATAAATAAACCCTTGTTTGTTATGTCAGCTGCCTCAAGTGGTTCATTGTAATAAAACAAAGCTGAATAATGCAATCACCAAAAGTAATTCTGTACAAAAAAGATAATCTTTTCAACAAATGATGCTGAAACAACTGACAGTTCATACCAAGAAAACTGAGCAAAAACTCCCACTTCATACAACATACAAAAGTTAATTGGAGAGGAGAATAGACCTAACTAACACAACTAAAACTATAAGGTTCTAGAAAAAATAGGTGAGAATATTTTTGCATCTTAGCAAAATTTCTTAGACAAGATTCCCCAAAAATGGATACGCTGGGCTTCCTATAATTTGAAACTTTTATTCTTTAAAAAATAGCAACAGTAAAATGAAGAGGCAAGCCACAGCCTGCTAAAAGTATTTGCCATGTCTTAAATCTGATAAAGAACTTTTACCCAAAATATATAAATCTTACAATTCAGTAGTAAAAAGACAGACTATCCAATAATAAATAAGAAAACATTTGCACAGACATCACAAATGAAGATACATGAGTGGCCGTGAAGCGTGTGCGTGTGTGTGCAAGCACATGCACACAGAGATGTTCGACATCATTTAGTCATTAGCGAGGTGCAAACCAAAGCCACAACAATAGCTGGCAATATTGAGGGTTGGTGTGGATGTACGGCCGTGTCAACTCACTTATATGGTGAGAGTGAGAATGTAAACTTTACAACTACTTTGGAAAAGTATTTGAATGTCCTTACAAAGATAAACATATGCATTCTCTATGATCCAGCAATTCTACTAAGTATTTAAACATATGTTCACACAAAGATTTGTGTGAGAATATTCATAGCAGCTGTATTTATAATAGCACTAAACTGGAATTAGCTCAATTGTCCATCAATAGGTGAATGGAGAACCGGATCATAAATATTAATAAAAAATTCTACTCAAAAATAAATAGAAGAAACTATGGGCATGTGGGGCAACATGGATAAATCTGAAAATCATTCTACTGAATGACAGGGCTTGTCAAATATATAAGTACAAGTCAGAAGCAATGCCACATACCTGTAATCTCGGCTACTCAGGAGGCTAAAAGAGGAGGATCACAATTTCCAGGCCAGGCTCAGCAACGCAGAGAGACCCTGTTTCAAAAAATAAAAAAATAAAAAGTGTGGAGATGTAATTCAGTGGTAGAGCTTCCTTGGATTCAACCTCCACTACCACAAATGAACAAGTGAAAAATAAGTAACTAAGCTCGGGTGTTAGAAACCCAAACATTGGCTACATTTAGGAGAGACAGACTGAGACAGGTTCTCCAGAGAATCGGAACTGAGAGCATCTATAAAATTACAGGAGGTGATTTAATAGAATGACCCACATAGTCAGAAGTAAAGTAGTCCCACAGTGGACGTTTACAGGCTTGAGAGCAAGGAAAACTAGTACCTGCGCAGTCCCAGAATTAGGAAGCTTCAAAACAAGAGAGGCCAGCGATGCAGTCCCAGCCCACGGCTGAAGTTCTGAAAGTGCCCCAAAGAGCCCCTTGTGCAAATCCTCATTCAGAGGCTAGTGAGGCTGGATTCTCATGTCCATGGGTGACAGCAGCGGCAGCAAGAACACAAACACTCGATAAGGACTGGACAAGCAAAAGCCAGCTTTTCCTCTGCTCACGTTTTCATTCCAGGTACCACCTGAATTCAGGATGTGTCTTCCCTGCTTGGTTCCCTGGCCCACATGCAAATCTCTAGAAAGACTCTCACAGGCACACTCAGAAGTGTGCTCTACCAATTTTCTGGGAGATCCTCAATCCAGTCAAGTCGGCAACAAAAATTAACATCACACAGAACACGAGGGAAATTTGCAGTGATATATCTTATCCTATACTGAGGCGGTGGTTAGACATGCTGGCTTGATTTCCTGGAGCTGATGTAACAAAATACCACAAACTGAGTATCTCAAAACAACAGAAACGTATTGTCTTATTTCTGGAGACTGGAAGTCCAAAAGCAAAGCATTAGCAGGACTGGTTCCTTTTGAGTACTCTGAGAATCTGTCCCATGACTCTCCTAGCTTCTGGGGAAAGCCAGCAATCCTTGGCATTCTAATCTTCACCTCCATGTTCACAAGGATTGTCTCTGCATGCAAATTTCCCTGTTATAAGGACACCACACAGGATTAGGACTCACTCTAATGGTCTGATCTTGGACTCCATTTTTATATGATGTCCCAGGGACTAGGATTTCAACATAGCTTTTATGGAGTAAGGGTACAATTGAACCAGAACACATGAATATATATTTGTGAAAACTGAATTTATGAGAGAAAAATCTATGACCTTAGTTTGGTGATGAGTTTTTAGATATAATACTGAAAAACATGATCCATGAAATAAAAAATTGATAAGCTGGGTTTTATTAAAATTAAAAACTTCTGCTCAGTAAAAGATAGGTTCAGAGAACGAAAAAACAAACCATAGACAGGGAGGAAATATTAGAAAAACACACATCTGATAAATGATTAGTATCCAAAATAACAAAGGACTCTGGAACCTGACAATTAGAAGACACACAACTCAAGAATGTGCAAAAGATCTAAACAGACTTCACCCAAGATGATACAGGTAACAAATAAGCACATGAAACGACAACATCTTATGTCATTCAAGTGTTACAAATTAAAATAATAACAGCCAGGGATATAGCTCAGTGGCACAGCACCTGCCTGGAGAACATGAGGTCCTGAGTTCAATTCCTGGTATAAATAAATAAATAAATAATAACAAAGTATCATTACATATCTTATTAAATAGCTAAACTTTTAAAAACTGTCCATTCCAATTGCTGATAAGGAGGCAGGGCAATAGCAGCTCTCATTTATTGATGGTGGGAATATCAAATGGAACAACCTCTTTGGAAAATTTGCAAAGGTAAATATAGTCTTGGGGATCATCCACCAATTATGCTGTTATGTAGTTTTCTTTGCTCACTTGAAAACTTATGTCCATACTAAAACCCCCACACAAATGCTTATAGCAGCTTTATTTAGAGTCATCTCAGCCTAGAAACGATCAAGAGGTCCCTATAGACGGATGGGTAAGTTAACGTAGTACTTCCCTGTAATGGAATATTTCTTATCAATAAAAAGACTTGAGCTATCGAGGCATGAAAAGATATGAGGGAGTCTTGAATGTAGATTACTAAGTGAAAGGATCCATCTGAAAGAGTAGATACTGTATGATTCCAGTTACACGACATTCTGGAGAAGAAAAACTATAGCAAGGGTAAAAAGGAAGTAAGTGTTTGCCAGGGATTTGTGGGGAGGGTTGAATAGGTAGAGCACAGGGAAGTTTGGGGGGGAGCGTAACAGAAGTATTCTATATGATATTGTAATGGTAGGTACATGATACTATGCATTTATCAAGATCCAACTTTATAGCACAAAGAATGAATCTTAATGTACCCAAATATAAAAAAGTCTGAGTGTTCAAGGTCTAGGACGAAATGTGACAAAGCAATCATTTTTATTACTTATGTATCAAACAACATTCATGAGGAAAGCTCTGCTTTAAGTAATTTTGGACATGAGCGGAGTTTGTAGAACAAAAGGTTAAAAAGCAGTAAATAAGCAGTACATACTCCAGTTCATAAACTTGTTTCCCATGAGGCATGGGGTGAAAATTCTGATAGTGCTAAGCATGGATACTGGGATTGAATAGTTAATAAAGTGGATGGTGGATGGTAGGAGTTGAGTTTCTCATTGTTGGAAGGGAAAGTTTCAAATAAGCAATGGGAGATGGCCAGAAAGATCCATGTGGTGATGGATTACAGCTGAAGACATGAGCAAGAAGTCATGTGTAGCTTAATACAGATACAGAGGGTTATGTATAGAAATAGTTTTAGGTATGTACATACACATGAATTAGTGTACATATGTTTATTTCCTGTTTACATCCAAACAGATGCTTTGTTCCTAAGACCATTTCTCAACAAGAAGAAGCAGGTCTCATTGGAGAACAAGTTGATTGTAGGACTGTGGCAGAAAATGTACATAATGGTCCTGGAGTATCATGTAGGGCCAGAGTATAAAGAAGTGTTCAAAAGCACAATGGTGGCAGTATGTCAGGCTGACATGGAGTCAACTGGTTTCCATGAGCATCAGTGTCTATAAAGATCTCTGACAGTGCTTGAGCCATATTACTTAGCATTTTTTTAAAGGTTGCATATTAGTTTGCTTGGGCTTCTATAACAAAATGCAGTACTATGTACTGGATGGCTTGAACAACAGAACTTTATTTTCTTACCATTCTGGAGGTTAGAAAGTCCAGGTCAAGGTCTGGCAGGATTTGATTTCTGGTGAGGGATCTCTCCCTGGCTCGCAGATGGTCACTTTGTCCTTATATGGCCTTTGCTTAGTGCTTGCATACATAGATAGAAAGAGAGACCTCTCTTTCTCTCTTACAAGGCCTCTAACTTTATTAAATTAGGGACCCACCTTTATGATTTCATGGAACCTTAATTACTTCCTAACTACCTGTGTCCAAATAGAGTCCCTCTGAGATCAGGGCTTCACTGTGTGAATTTTGGGAGGGATGCAATTCAGTCCACAGCAGGCAGTGTAAGATATGGAATAAAATAACTTGGAACTCTTATTCTAGCTTTATCACAAACTATGCTGGGAAAATCTCTCAAGTTCCTCAATTTTTTTCATTTTCAAAAATTGAGGTATTATTTTTATCCAATAAAATTCACACGTTTTAAAATACTGTTAAGTGAGCTTTTTAAAAAATAATCTTTTTATTTTAGAACAGTTTTAGTTTTACAGAAAAATTGCAAAGATAGTACAGAGAGTTCCCATATACCCAGTACCCGGTTTCCTCCATCAGTAACATCTTAAGTTACTACGATACATTTAATGAGTTATTACCAATACATTCAAGACTCCTGGTCTATGTTGTAGAAATTTCTCATTGGGATTTCTGATGGTTCTCCCATATTTAGCATGTGATTATGAGCTTGGGGGAGCATATATGAGTTTGGGCAGAGAAGAAGAGCCATTTTCACATCTTATCAAAGGTCTATGCAGTCAACATGACGTCACTGCTGCTGTCAACCTTCACCACCTGGGTGAAGCTGTGTTCATCAGGGTTCACCACTCAGACTTACTCTCCTGCCTCTCGGTCCTCTTCCCACAGGCTTTGGAATGAAGTCACTACGCAGAGTCCACATGTAAGGAGTGCGGAGCTACACTTTGCTTTCCTTGAGGAAGAAAGAGCTACAGAAGTTATTTGGAGTTCTTCAGTGTCACTGCGGGCATTTCTTTCTTCTCTAGTCATTCAATATTTTATCTGTAGGGACTAGCAGACGTTTTTGGGGGGGTACTGGATGTTGAACTCGGGACCTTTTGCTTGCCAGACAGGTACTCTGCTGCTAAGCTATATCCCCAGCACAATTTGTTTTGTTTTGGGGGGTTACAAGTAAATTTTTTTGTAATTTTGGTTCCAGTCTTTTTTTTTTTGGTTTTTCTCCGGTACCGGGAACCGAACTCACGACCTTGCGCTTGCCAGGCAGGCGCTTTTGCCGCTGAGCTAAATCCCCAGCCCCTTCCAGTCTTATTTTGACATGTCTCTTATGCTGTCTCTGTCTCTGTCTGTGTGTCTGTGTGTCTCTGTCTGTATCCATGTCTGTGTCTCTGTGTTTCTGTCTGTCTGTGTGTCTGTGTGTCTGTGTGTCTCTGTCTGGTCTCTGTGTCTGTCTGTCTGTCTGTCTGTCTCTCTCTTTCTCTCTCTCTCCCTCTTCACTTTCTATTACTACAAGATGTCCTGGGCTCACTTGCACACCATATCTTTCCTCCACCAACCCTAGAGTCAGACATTTCTCCAAGAATCTCTCATTCTGTTTCTTGGAGAATAGTACTCAGAAACCAAGATCTGGACACTAATGTGCTTTTTGCTACTGAAGAATCACAGCTGTTAGACCTTCTTAGAGGACAGAGGTACAGAACATGTGTGTATATACTCACCCATGCACACTCACATATTTACATTCATTCTTATCTGAACAGGCAAGCAAACATGTGAATTTATACTGATATTTTTGAATTTAATCCGACACCACAGGAGTAATTCTAGCATGTCTCTCTTGCTTAT